AAGCCAAGCAACAAAACTATTGGAAGTTTAAAAATAGTTATATGAAAAAAAAAAAATATCAAGTAAACAGACAAATGACAGAATTAAAAACTTCAGGAAATAAGTCCAGATTATAAACACAGAGCTAAAATTTCATCTCCCTGAAACAATTGCATTATCATCTGGTTATATCACAATAATACAGCTCTTGTTAGAATTGCACAGAGAATTCACTTAAATGCTATTTATACAAAAATATTATTATTCTCTTAAGTTCTGGTACAATAAAATAACATCTCTGGATTTGATAAATATTTCAATGTGTACAGAAAAAAACATAAGTACTTTGATTCTGTCACAGAATCACAGAAGCTCCTTTGGACTTCTGAGTAACAGTAACAATATTCACAGGCAGAGTGAAAACTGTATCAAGGAGAAAAACCAACCAAAAAATAACACACACGTTCCAAAAGAGAAATTGTTCACGTTGAAGTACATTCAGGTTGCAAAGAATTTCAGTTTACAAATGCAAAGCTTTCATAAGCATTGGGAGTAAAACAAGCAGTCAAGTAGTTCTATGGCTTTTCACTGTTTCTTTTAGGTTCACAACAGGAGAAAGGATTGATGTGTTACTGATAGATGTGATATTTAGAATTTGGTTGCAAATGTCATTAATTTACTCTGTAACATCAATGTCAGGAAAAATGTAATTAAGCACTGAAGCACAAGTCAAGTAATACTTCTGAGGAAAAAAAGTATCCTTCTATCATTAATTCTCTCATCCTTTTACTTTGATATAATATTTCCAGCCTTTGTTCTGTACAGTTCTGAGGTTATTCACAATGTCACCCAGAGAATCAAGCTACCCTACGCTACGAGGCACCAGAAAACAAGAGTTAAAAGGGCCCTTAGAAAGGAAATGGAAAAAGACGCTGTATTTATATTAATGCCCCCCTAACTTGACAAACACACAAACCCAAACAAAAGCACAGATTCAAACACCAGGAAGAAAATGTTTTAATCAAGATAATCCTTAAGCAGAAAGCATCCTGCATTTTGGAACACCATTTATTAAACATGTCCTCAACTTTTCCCATTTCATTAACATATCATTATGGTATTTAGAGAAATTATGTCTCATATGTAAGTCACAACGCTACAGAACAAAGTTACCCACAACACCACGACATTTTAAATTACATTGACTTATATATGAACAACTCACAGTGACACCTCATTCAAAAGCTAACTAAACAAGTATAATACTCATGGTATTATTGGAATTAATCTGTATGAGATCTCCACAATGCACATAATAATTAAAAAAAAATAAATAAATTCTAACTTTAATTAAAATCTTGATATCATACTAACAGACTAACTTATCATATTAATAACTACCTGTGCACATCCAAGGAACTAACTGGCCTTACTTATCCAATACCTGATAATAACATAATCCACACAGTATGAATTCAGATATTCAGAACGTGAAAAGCCAAATAAATGGAATTCCCATAACTTTTAAGGAATCTCCAAGCCTTCTGTGGGGAAATAATTAAAAGAAAACTGGATGTTAACTCTATTTACCATGCCTTTCAATGACAGCATCAGTACCAAAAACATTTTTACTTCAAACACATGGACAGTTACACTCTACCATACCTTCCAGTTCCCAAGCATAGATGTGCTACTGTTTTGCATTCTGTTTAGCGAGATATTTCTCTGATAGGACAGCAGGAATAAATTCAGCTACATACCAAGAACAATTCAGTAAGATTTATTAAAACTCCTGTGAAATAAATATTAATGCACTTGATGTGACATGGTTAAAATAGCATATAGTTACATTCTTAAGTTTCTCAGGAAAATATATTGGTCTACTTACCAGTAAAGCTCTCTGAAGGTCTACAATGGACGTAGCCTGTGGGCAGGTGACCAACTTCCTGAAAATTAGGGTTTTTTGCCATTCTGAACAACTGACAGGTGGAACAGCAAGCTCATAGAAACATCAGTCAGCAACATCCAGCTGCATAGTAGCAACTGTACCATATTCCTGAAACAATGCATGAAATATATGCATGTAGCAGTAAATGTTAAGAATCCTTCAGCGTTCTATGGGAAATCTTTAAGTATCATTATACCATAACATTAGAAGTCTTTTTTTTTTTTTTTTTTTTAAAGCATTTAATTTTGACAATACATTTTTTTTTTTTTTTTTTTTTACCAAAAAAGCAATAATATATCATAATTCATTTTCTCATTATAAGGCACAAAAACAGTGATCACATTGTTTCTCCATATGAGTCTCTTAATTAAACCACATCTATGCAAAGCCTATCATATGGACATTATTCCCCAAACATCCAAATCCCCGTAATTGGCCTCGTCTAGTCCAAAGTGGTGGGTGAGTAGTGCTGTTTTTTGTTTGGTAGTGGGGTTTGAGGTCTTGGGGTTAAGGTACGGATGTCATCCAGAGGGACCCAGACAGACTCAAAAAGTGGGCCCACAAAAACCTAATGAGATGTTGCACTTGGGTTAGGGCAATCCCACATTTGTCTAAAGACTGGGAGAAGAATTCCTTTGGAGCAGCTCTGCTAGAAAGGACTTGAGGGTCCTAATGGACAAAAAGCTGGACATGAGCTAGCAGTGTGTTCCTGCAGCCTGGAAGGCCAACTGTATCATGAGCTGCTTTAAAAAAGAGGCAGCCAGAAGGGAGAAGGAGGCGACTGCCCCCCTCTGCTCTGCCCTTGTGAAGCCCCATCTGGAGTACTGCATCCAGGTCTGGGGCTCTCAGCACAAGAAAGATGTGGAGCTGTTGGAGGGTCCAGAGGAAGGCCAGAGAGATGATAAAAGGACTAAAGCACCTCTCCTATGAAGAAAGGCTGAAAAAGTTGAGCTTGTTTAGCTTGGAGAAGACGGGGCTCTGGGAAAACCTCACTGCAGTCTTCCAGTACTGAAGGAAGCTTATAAACAAGAGTGAGACCAACGTTTTAGAGAGAATGCTCACCTAAAATCTTAAAACACAAACAAAAAATTCAGTGACAGCAGCACAGGATTTTTGGAACAGGTCTGCGAGATGTGCTTTAAAAACAAGCAAGCAAGGGGCATTTCTGGGAAAGTATAATTACTGCTGCACTGAGAACAATTTAACAGTCCAGCTTGTTTATTATTTGATAACACAATGATTTAAGTCAATAGCTATTTGAATGAATCATAGCAGGGCATAACCTGCAGTAGTACTTGTCCTATGAACCCAGTAGAGCCTGATAAAACACTACGTGCCATCATCACGTTGAGCTAACTTCAGAAGAAAGCTAGAGCACAGCACGGATAAGCACTGCGGGCAGGCACTGCGGAACGCAGGCTGAGCATCTGCCAAGGTCACACCCGGAGCAACTCAGGACAAAGCGAGCCCGGAGCCGCGGTTCCTCACTGAGGGCTCTCTGAGGCCGCGCAGCCGGCAGCCACCCCGCGCCCGCGCAAACGCCGCTCGGCTGACAGCTCGGCTCCCACTTCCGTGCAGAACCCCGCGCTGGCCGCTCCCTCTACGCACCCGGTGCCACAGAGCGCTGCGCTGCCGCCGGGCCCGGGCTGCCGACGCCGGCGGGTACGGCTCGGCACGGCCGCTGAAGCGGCCGCCCGCCGCAGGGAAAGCCCCAAGAGCCGCCCGGCCACCGCAGGCACTGCTTAGGCGAGAGTGCGGCCACAACGCCCCCAGACACCCGACCGCAATCATCCGCTCCACTCACCAGCCTCGACGACGAGCGGGCCTCCAACCTTCTCAACCCGGCGCCGCCGTAACGTCAGCCGCCGTGATGACGCCATCAGCAACAGCCGCCGTCCTCCTGCGTGCTGACGTTACGCAGCGGGCCGGGTCTATGGAGGGCGGGCGGAGTACGGCGTGCCTCAGGAACCGGGTCTTCGTTCCGACAGAGCCCCTAAAATAGGAAGTGCTGCTCACATTCCCCTCGTTCTCTTCTGCCGTAATTCTGCGTACACGCTGCTCAACTTGTGCCTGCCAGGCTGCTGCAAATCAGCTTGTATGTCCGCACATCGCGGTGAGGCAGTGGCACAGCTGCACGGGGAGGTGGTGCAGTCACCGTCCCTGGAGGTGTTCAGGAGCCGTGTGGATGTGGCACTGAGGGACACGGCCAGTGGGCAGGGCTGGTGGTTGGACCAGAGGGTCTTAGAGGTCTTTTCCAACCTTAATCGTTCTGTGATTCTACGTTCTGCTTCTTAATTAGTAGAACCTCTGTCTAAAAGGAGAATGCAAATTTGTCCCTACTCCCACTGGAAAAGCACTACTGCCATTTAATTCAGTGCTTTATTTAGCCAGAGGAAAAAAAAAAATGCATTACCTTGGAAGATGCAAAATTAGGATTGCCTAAAATCAACACAAACTGTAAATTTCACAAGATCTCCCATATTAATTCTAAGCAGAGAACATTCAGTTAGGGCTACTGCTTCTTGTGTAGCTATCCACTGAACTACACACACACACCCTTAGACATACCCACGTGCAGTTTACAAACTATTCCTCTTAATTACTGGATTCCATATAATTGTGTCAATAGCGTTTCCAGTCACACCTGTGCTTTGAAGTATCATGAAACACATCTGAGTAAAATACTGTATGTAGATTAAATACAAACTGCTCACCTCTTTATGAAGGTAGATGATGGCAGGACAAGGAGAAACGGTGTTGAGGGAGGGAAGATTTAGATTGGATATCAGGGGGAAGTTCTTTACGAAAAGATTGGTGAGGTGCTGAAACAGGCTGCCCAGAGAGGTTGGGGAAGCCCCGTCCCTGGAGGTGTTCCAAGCCAGGTTGGATGGGGCCCTGGGCAGCCCAGTCTAGTATTAGATATGGAGGCTGGCGGCCCTGCATGTAGGAGGGCTGGAGCTTGATGATCCTTGAGGTCCCTTGCAACCTAAGCCATTCTAAGAGACTACTTTACTAATTTACATGCTTGTAAAATGTTGAGATTTTCCTTGCCAAGAAATGCATTATAAAGCTTTAGATGTTGCATCTATATTTATCAAATAGTTTTAGATAAATTCACTCAGACTTGCATTAGCCTAAACAATCTCTACTCACAATCTACTGCAAGATTCTGGATGGTAAGCAAACACAGTCAGCACTTGTGCTTCAGCTGAGTTTTACTTCATTTTAAGTTCCTTATTTCAGAACAAGAGCATTAGAAGGGATACAGTTTATTATGTAAGCTGCAAACAAGAGCTCTGTCTCATTTCATTGCTATAGCTCTCCTTCTTGGCTCTACTCACATCCAAGGAGCGCCTAACTTCGAAAGATATCACACTAAAGCTATACAACAATAGTCTTCAGTTTAGAATTTTCTTAATTGCTGCTTTAAGATAGCATGAAATATCGTGTATGTCTTTTTTGAAGTAAGGTGAGGTTTCCTGAGTCACCTGAGCTGAACATCCACTAAAGGGATCAGTCTTATTTACTTGTTCGGGAAACTGAGAAGCCTTGAAATCCTTAATTTCTGCTTAACAAACCTGGCATAAAGCTGACTCAGCATTTAAGAACCATCAATTTTTTGAGTTAAAGTAGACTGCCAAGGGCTAGACAACATTAGAAGTGCCACATCTAGGAGGAAGTTGGCTGAGATTGTGTAGTGCAGCTGTTAAAACTGCTCAGTTTCTCAGATCTTGCTATAAACAGCTGTAACTACATCCTCCCTATCATAATGACCTAGCATACAAGGGAATCATCAACTACACGGAGACAAGACAGAGGATAGACTAGGTATTCTAGAAATATAGAATGGCACACAGAATGCAAACATGAGCTAGTTACAGAAAACAGCAAGGTGTTAGAAATTGAAGACTGTATATGCATTACACCTATAAGGCACATCTACAGGACAGTACATGTTTAAGTAGAGACCACCCAGAAAATAATACACAAAATTTAATTTGAAGTATGTAGTTGCTTTTATGAAGAGTTGCTTCATAAATCAAAAACAGATGATCTTCTGAGTTACTGCTTGTACCTTCCAATAAATCCATGGTTGTCTGTACATCTGTAGGGGGCTTTAATCGGGCAATTGATTTCATTTTCACACTGCTTTTGCACACCTGTACAAGCTCAGTGGAAGCACGTAGCATGTTTTATTTATTTCCAAATGGAAACAATATCTTGCTTTAATTTTATTGATTCTTTAAATGGAACTTTGTAAAATTACTCAATTTAAAAGGTCTGTTGTTAAGCTGAGGTGTCTGGAAAATCCTTAATTCTGTACAAGGAGACAGGACAATAATACTTAATATTTGTCATTAGTATCTACATTAGCACAGTAGAAATTAAATCCAATACTTTCTACACTTCTTTTAACTGAATAGCTAGGGAGTTACTGAACAAGTTAATGAAAACTCTGCACATTATCATTAAGCATCCTGCTAATCAAGCTATCTTCACTTCTGGATTCCCAATAAATATTATATCCTGCATGACCAGGTTACTTCCCAAGAAAAAAAAAAATCCATGAACCAAAACAAAGTGTTTTGTTTACCTAGGATTCAAGAATTAGCAAAGATACATGTCATACTGCTTTAAAAATGACTTTTCATCAATGCTTTATTTCAAAGTGGATTGCAATGCCATCTCACTATCCAATAGTCACATAACTGAACTCAACAGGAGTTACGTGCTACTAGGAAAGATCACAATAAAACAGTGCAGAGAAAAATTTGCTTTGGTTTTGTTAACCAAAACTCGACAAGTTTTCCACTCTTCATACAAATATACAAGTATAATTTCAGTAACCATTACTGACTTTGAAGGGGCAGATCAAAATGCCTACTAGTAGGAAGCTATTTTAGATATTCTTTTTCATTACATTCCTAAAACAAAGTTGTATGGAGCCTGTAAGTGGAATGCAGCCCAGACCTGCTTCAAAACATAAATTATGAACAAGTTCCTTCTAGTGTTGGAAGAGACAAGAAGGGCCACTGTCAGTTCAAATCTATGAGATCTCTTATGTTGTCTGGCAATCAGCAGCCAAAAGTTTAAATACTGAATTCTTCCTGCTGGACTAATTTACTGCCTCTCTGAGGTTTCTTATTCTGGGCAAAGCTTTTTAAGTCTGGTCAATAAGGGGTTTTGCTTGGCATAATGTAAGTAAGACTTTCACAAATACGCTGCTACTCAAGTAAGAAGTCTGATATTTTATTTTCTAGTATACAGGGAAGTGCACAAAGCCTTCAGGATATCCTCTGACTTCATAAAAAAAAAATATACATTATATATGCTCCTTGCTGAAGTTCATCAGCAATAATGCAGGATCTAAGTAGTGTGAGATGAAATAAACTTCTGGTCATATATCTTAGCGAGTTTAGTGAAACTAAAGGCAGAGTCTGTTTAAGAGCGGAGTACGTACTTGTGCTCTTAAAAAGATGGGTGAGGATTCCTAACTGGGAACAAACTGCAGTGGCATTACAGGAGAACAGGAGACCTCAGGACAATTTTAGAAGAAAATCTGAACATAATTGATTCCTCTCCATTAAGCAAGAATTTCACAAGTACTGTTATAGATTTTCTCCAAGGAACTAAAAGTTTGTATCTCTTATATAGTATATTTCCTTTGATCTAAGTAAGAGTCACCATATGGTTAGGATTCAAAATTTCAATCCAGTAGCCATCAGGATCCTGAACAAATGCAAGTCCTTTCATTTTACCTATTAGGAAAAAAAAAGAAATGATGAACACAAGGATAAAGGTAAGGCCACATGACTAAATCTTAATATCAAATGCAATTACTTTCAATTTTTTTTTTCCTTTTGTATGAGTATTAATTCAGCTTTAGGCAGCTACTTCTGAAAACATCCAAATTAGTGTTTGATCACAACTAGGCGTTTGTGTGCTAAGTTGTTAACCTGATACTTAAAGCTGTATTTAAAGTCATTGTGAAATCCTATCTTTTGTTGATTTAATTATTTTTTTTAAGCCCTGCAAGTGTTCATCCCTTAGTTTTGGAAAAGTATTTTTGTGTTCCAGGATGTTTTGGCATGTTTTGCTAAACTGTTCTGTCAGTATAAAGTTCTTTGTTCCTCAGTCCTGTTCATTTCTGCCTACACAGTGAAGTTTCATGCTTTACTAGTTTTTATTTGGTTGTTCCCCACTCCCAATCTGGTTTACAGTACACATTTGCATTACTGTTTGAGATAGAAGTGCAGTGCAGGAATGTTTTAAACTGTTGGAAAAAATATTCTTTGCAAAAATAGAGTCCCCCAAAATATTCTTCAACAGTGAATCATGACAGCACAGCTTAACATTTTATATTAGAGAGCCACACAGTTTCAATTTTACTTGCCCTATTACCTGTTTACTGTAACAGAAAAATGTTAATTATTATTATATTTTAGTTATAAAAACTTCTGAGAGAACAGCAGCTGTGATTCAGTAATGCATGGAAAAAAAATACCATGAACTTTCTCGTCCAGCTCCACTAACAATAGATGTCAAAGATAATGAGGTTCTGGATTTAACATTTGCTGCATCAGTTTAAATTCCTGATGTTAAAAATGGCTTTCACGTTTTTTTTGTTTGTTTGTTTGTTTTGTTTTTTGCTATAAACAGACAAAACAATTCTGCATTGTCAGTTTTGTGCATTTTGTAAGAGGGAGCAAGGTTAGTAGGTTCACATCCTAAGGAATGACAACTATTATCGCTGAGCTGTCCAGTACAAAAATCTACCAGGCACAATATATTAAAAACAAACAAAAAACAGAAAAAGACAAAAAAAAAAAAGACTTGCATTTCTGTCTAAGACTTACCATCATCTGGTTTCTTCACAAATTTCACTCCTAGTTCTTCGAACCTCTTACAAGCTTTATTGACATCAGGGACAGCAATTCCAATGTGTCCTGCAAAACAGGGTAAAAACAGTATGGTATGCTAAGTATTTCTATGCATTTGAGAAAAAAAGTTTGCTCAGCATTTCATCTTGTGCAATAAGTTCACATATTTGTACAAGAGACATGACAAACTCAAGAAAATTATTTCTTACAGAAAGAAAAGCATTTCAGATCTTAACAGTATCCTCCTTGACAAAA